ATTTCGTTATTATGAAAATAGTACGGTATTCCGTTTACAACTAGACTTGCCCTCGGGTAGTCTATTGTTGCTTTATGACTTTTAAAGAATTCTGTGCCCAAGATTCCATCCTGTTGGATTGGGAAATCATCAGAGACTACGTGAAATAGCACGTCGATGTCGAAAATGCGTATTTTTGCCACGCCTATCGTACGAGTTCGACCTTTTGTTATTCTACTCAATGCAAAGATGACTTTCGTATCAATAGGTACGTTCTTATCAAAAGATTCCCTTTTTATAATATTTATATCGGATCCCGTGTCAATCATAAAATTAGCACGTTCGTCTGTTAAATCTTTACTGGATAAAACAACTGAGGGTGGTTTTCCAATCTTATTGCAAGTAACGTTTATACTTGCGTGCCCTCGGGTGATTCTTGCGGCTGTGGTGTGATTAGGCGCACTCGGGGGCGTTCGTTCAGCGTTACGCCTGTTCGCTGCGCCCGATCCCGGTTTCCCGATTTTTCTTGGACTCTATCTCGTTGTATATTATCGGCAATTCTATTCTCTCTATTAAAAGGGCGATTTCCTTGGTTCATCAAATTATTATTATATTGTCTCTTTCGACACTGTTCGAGACTATGTCCAGGAATTTTGCAATATCGGCAAATTAATCCAACGTTACGTGGAGTAAAGAAATTTCGACGATTTATTCGGTTATTAACAAAATTATTTCGCATGTTATTTATTGGATTTCGATTCAACATCCGCGGTTGTAAGGCTCTACATTCAGCGCGCACATGTCCAGGATTTTTACAAAATAAACAGACTTTAGGTTGTCAATTCACATAAAATATTTGCGCAAGCGGATTAACAGTATTGCATGAATACGTATTATGGCCGTATCCAAGACAATTATTACAACGAATAGATTGCATAAGGCCCTCCATGATCCTCATGCGTTGCATATGTTCGTTATATTCGGTTTCTGCTTTTATCGCGGTTTCTATAGCATTGTTGAGATTTATCGGATCGCGCGTATGAATTCTTGTGTATATGTCGGTTTTTAATCCCGTCAAGAAATTTCGAATGGCATTAGTTTCAACAGAATTTACGAATTGCGTTGCCTGTTCCGGGCTTTCGGTTTGGTAACACGATTTTAATTGATGCAGGATCATGGATACTCTGCTGCCATAATCAACTACGGTTTCCTCCGGATGTTGCATTACTTTAAAAAGTTCCCCGTGCAATTGTGACGATGAGTAAACCGGTGCAAAACGGGTTTTTAACACTGCTAATAGCGAATCGATATCATTATATTCTCCGCTTAAGGCTACCCTCAATGCAGGACCGACTAATTTATTTTTAATCATCTGGACAAATCCGTATTCGGCACTCGGAGACACCATGTTTTTCGCGTGCATGCAACTATTAGTGAATTGGGATACAGGCATATTTTTGCCATCAAAAGGAGAATTGTCTCGGCTGCATCTCTAAGACTTATGTATTTCGCATACGGCGCGTTCCGTTTTCCGCTCGATGGTTGGCGTTATTTCCGTCGATATTCATTTCGCCTATTTGCCTAGCTATTGCGTCGACTCCGTTTTCGATAGACATTTTTACAATAAATTTTTCTTTGACTTACATATAATGCATCGCAAGAAGAAGTACGGCTATGCGCAACCCCATTAGGCCTCGTTCACTCGACCAGTCTTATCCCCGCAGTCTTCCAGAAGTTCCTCTTCTCCTCGATGTAGAGACAGGATGTGCAGAACGGCTTGGAGCCACTGGAGCTACTGCAATTGAGTCCTCTTCTGCTGTTAATCCTCCTGGTGTCCAGAGAATCGGCTGATTCTCTTGATGCTTTTTAGAAATCCCACCGCTGCCACCAAAAATTTTCAATACTGTGACGTCCTGGTGAAGCAAACTCCTGTTCGTTCCCTGCAGAGCGTCGTTTTATGAGTCCTTCGCTGGCGGTTAAGAGGGTTAAAACCTCAGGATTATTTACTGGACGTTCGAATGATGACGAAGCCTCGGGATTGGTCGGAATGGAGTGTAATAACTTATAGAATTTTAAAGTATTTTCAAGCGACTTTATTGAGATTCAGAGCTCGGATCTGAGCTTCTCTACTTCGAATCCGCTCTCTGATCTACGCAACAGCAATCAGAGGAGGTCCTTTTATAAGCATTTTACAATAAGAGAAGACGTAGTTGTTCTATTCTATCGCTGTGAGTCATACTAGCGCAGGTCGACCCACATGCCATATACGGAGTAAAAGTAACAAAATGTAACTATATAAGGTAATGGTCTATCGCCTAGACCAACGCTTCCATATATGGCGGTGTCCTACTTTTAGACTAGATTCACTCTGACGCATCATCTCGGTTAAGGTTTCTAATTCTATTTTAGAACGCATACGGTGGCGAAGACTTTCTCTACTTATTCCTAATGAAGCAAAAGCAACTTGCTTGCGAGAGTAATACTTTCTTGGTTTTTGAGAAATAATATCCATAAAGATATTAAGAAACAATTTAGAAGACAATCTCAACTTATTTGAAAAACATCAGTTATT